CCGCAGAGCAGTGCCGTGCCTGCAGGACCGCCACAGCAGCATCCCTTTCCCCCCACCACTCTGGTGCTGGATCCTGCACTGCTGAAGCTGTGACTCCCTCTTCTCCTCCAGGCTCTCTGAGCAGCACAGACAAAGCAGACCAGAAGATGGTTGACATAGCAGAACAGCTGGGCCTCAGCTGGGCTGGTGAGTCCACACCTGACAGCTCTGAGGATGCACAACACTCCTCGGAAAGCTGACACTTAGGAAGGCTGAAAACATGCTGCAGAGCGGAGTGGATATGCTTTACACTGCCCCAAGAGCTGGGCCCTGGTGCAGGTGGTATGGCTGCAGTCTGCACTGGCTCCTCCGGCAGGCTGGCCTCCTCCCAGCACTTCTGTTGAACTGGGAGCGTACCGTGGCAGTGAAATGAACCTTCTTGCAGCTGTGTGCGTTCACAGGCACAGATGCCAAGCTAGGGATTTGTTCCAAGTCATACATATTGCTGCTGTTTGTGGAGGTCCAGTGCTGTCGTTGCAGCCAGACACCCAATGGCAGTACCTGCGCGACTCCTTGGTGTGAGACACTGCTGCACTGGTCACAGCCAGCCTGAGCACAGGGGCTTCAGCCTCTGCCCCATCCCAGCTCCTGCTCCTGCATATTCTGCCACATTCAGTTGCACGTGATGTGGGAGACTTGGTGCTGGGTCTGGCTGAGCCCTTCACAACATCCCTGCCCTTCTTGGCTTGGGAGCTGTTGGAGGGCACTGGAGGGCATAATGCTCAGATGTGGTGTCTCCCCCAGAGCTGGCGCGTGAGCTGCAGTTTGGAGTGGATGACATCAACAGGATACGTGTGGAGAACCCCAACTCCCTGCTGGAGCAGAGCATGGCCTTACTCAACCTCTGGGTCAGCCGCGAGGGCAAGAGCGTCAAGAGTGAGTACAGCATGGAGGTGGCAAGGCTGGCTGCGCAGAGCAGCACGTGCGTGTCTGGGGGTCCCTAGCTGGCGTTACACCGCAGGTTCATGCATGCTTGCCCACCCAGGGGGTGTCTGGGGCATGGCTGTGTTCTCCCAGCAAACGGTTTGCTGACACTGGCTTCCCCCTGTAGTGGAGAGTCTGTACACGGCGCTGAGGAACATCGACCGCAGCGAGATCGTCAGCTCACTGGAGGGCTCCGGCCGGCAGAGCCGCAGCCTGAAGGGCAGCTGGCGCTACACGGACAGAGACTACTCCCTCTCACCATCTCAGATGAATGGTGAGTCCTGGCTTCTGGCAGTGGCTGCAGGAGGGCCCCTGCGGCAGAGACTGTGCAGGGCTGATGTGTTGCCTGGCCAGGGTGCGCTCGTGGCGTGCTGGCAGCTCAGTGGGCACAGGGCATTGCCAACAGATGTGACCTCCTCACTGGGACTTGTGCTGCAGGAAGCTTGGCCCTGCCACACTGCCTCCTCGGAAGGGCTCCAGGCAGGGAGGCACATGTTCCTCCTTCTGACGTGCCAGTGAGAGGTGCCTCTGGCTGTGCCAGCTGAGCGGTGGTGTGCCTGGGCGCAGGAACGCAGCCGGGTCAGCTGCAGTGTGTGCCAGCGGGGAGCCGGCACAGCGTGGGCTGCTGCAGCCCCACGCCGCGGTGCTGTCTGCGTAGCTCTGGCTCATCGTGCTCTCCCTCTCTGTCTCTCTCCGGTTCTGCTCTCTCAAACATGCCACCTAGTGCCATCAGCTGCCGGCACTCCTGTGGGTCACTTCTTGTCACCTCTCTTCGCTAAGCTCATCCTGACCTCTCCTTCTCTCATCTTCCTCTACTGCCTGCCTCACTGTCTCCAGCTCAGCTGAACCCTCTGGGAGCCGCCTCCCGGTCCAGCGACCGCATGTCACCAGCGACTGCCCCTCTCACGGCTCTTGTTCCCGCAGGCACCCACCCCAGGCCCTCTGCTCTGGCGCTGCCCTCTGCTCCTTCCCTGACTGCCTGCGCTGCTTGCTGCCCACCAGGCACCTGCACAGCGTGCTGTGCCCTGTCTGTGCCAGGGGTCCCAGCTGCGCCCCAAGTCCCAGCTGCGCCCCATGCCTCGGCTGTGGCTAACAATCCCTGGCTGCATGAGAGCAGAATGGGTTCTCTGATCATCTCTAGGGGTGGAAGAGGGGTTAGTGGCCTGGAGCTGAAAAAGGCTTGGCAAAGCCATCTATGTGGGTGGGAATGCCCGGCGCGGCTTTAGCCCGTTCTGTGTGCCCAGGCTGTGCACATGGCCCTCAGTGATGTGCACATGACAACTGCTCGAAACCCCGGGGACACCAACAGAGGTGTAGGGCCCTGGCTGCATCCCACAGGGCCTCGGGGCTGCATGACATGTACCAGGGCCATCCTTCCCTGCTCATGGTAGTGCTTCCAGCCTACTCCTCTTTGCTGTGGAGAGGGGTTGACTCTGGGAATCCATGCCTGTCAGACTTGGCCACCTGAACTCCAGGCTGACCGTCAGCCAGCCGGTGCTGGGTGGGAGCTGTTGGCAGGGACCTGGGGGCTGATGGAGCGAGGTAGCAAAGAGGGCACTGTATCCTGCAGTGTGGTGGGGCATTGTGTGGACCCCGGGGAGCAGACAGCCTGAGGGCCTGACCAGACCAGCTCCAGGACTCGAGGGAAGACATGGCAGCACTTGCAGGGACTGTGCAAAGGCAGCAGCTGCTGTGAATGCAGCCCTGCTCAGCCCAGCCACTGGGGTCTGTGGCATGACCATTGCTGTCCTTGGGGCAGGCTCCTTCCTGGAGGCTGTTTTCCTTCTCACCCCGCTGTGCTTGCGTGTGCGTGAGAGGGCTGCTGGAGATGTTGCCTCTGTCTGCCCATATAGGTTATGCTTCGCTGCAGGACGAGCTGCTGTCCCCCGCCTCCCTGCATTACACGCTGCCATCCCCGCTGCGTGCCGACCAGTACTGGAATGAGGTGGCCGTCATGGATGCCATCCCCATGGCTGCCACCGAGCAGGACGCCCTGATGGAGATGTCCGACATGCAGGTGTGGTCCTCGGGGCTCACCCCCTCGCTGGTGACTGCTGAGGACTCCTCTCTGGAGTGCAGCAAGGCCGAGGACTCGGATGCCACAAGTGAAGGCCGGTTCCCGGGGCAGCTTCTAGCAGATGCACATGGCCCAGACCACATGGGCTCTATGGACCTGGTTGAGGATGACACAGTGGACTCAGATGCCATGAATGGTCTGATTGACCTTCTAGAACAGGAGGAGGGGCAGAGGCCAGAGGGGAAGATGCCAGCCGGTGATTGCCAGCCAGGGACCAAGGAGCAAGACACGGAGAGTGAAGTCTCTTTTGTTTCAGTTCAGCAGAAGGTGCAAGCCAGGATCACAGCATCACCTACCATTAGCCACGTTGTGGAGAAGAGCACAGACAGGTACTGCAGCCTGGGGCACTGGGGTGGCTGTGGGAGGGGAGCAGAGCTGCTTCACCAGCTATTGCCCTGTGCTGGGCCAGCTGCAAGAATGTCCCAGCTTTGCTTGCTTCTCTGCTGGTCCTCCAGCTCTGGAGCCTGGGCATCCCCAGCAGACAGAGCAATGACCTGGGCCACACGCCTTGCACCTCTCTGGAGATGCTCTGAGGGGGCTCCTTGCAGAGCACCTGGGAGGGACCCTAGACAGACAGACAGGCCCTGCATGCAGGTCTTGCTTATCAGAGCCATCCCAGTCTGGGCTGCATCCTCCCATGCTTCCATTGGCACTGGTCCTGTGAGGTCCTGGCAGAGCCCAGCGGTGCTCCGCAGCATTGCTTTAGACCCTCGCAGCCTGGCTGTGAGGCTGAGGGGTGGGCAGGGAGCGTGGCAGGGAACAGGTCTGCGCCCTTTGTGCATCTGCGTTTTGTGCTGCTTGTGCCAGGCGCCCGGCAGCGCCGTGAGCTGGGGAGCCTGGTACCTGGCGGGGTGCAGGCTGTGCCAGCGTGCTGCCAGAGGTAGGCTGCTGCGCAGGGTGCAGCACTCCATGGCAAAGCTGACTGCCTCTCTCTCTCTGTCTCTCTCTCCCTGTCCCTGTCCCTCTCCGGTGCCCAGGCTGAGGGACTGGAGTGCAGAAGGCTCCTTTATCTCCTGCCTACAGGACCTGACAGCGGGCTCCTGGCAGGAAGGGGTCACCCGAAGGCTGCTCCCGACGCATACCACAGCCTCCGGCACACAGGGCCAGGAGCAAGAGCAGGTCCTGGTGCCGGCCGTGGAGCTGATGCGGGTCAGTTCCGCAGAGGACAGCGACTGGCAGCCCCAGCACCCCACAGGCGGCTGGCAGGAGGAGGCAGACAGCCGCTTCTTTGGCCAGGTGAGGGTAAGAGCAGGGGGACGTGGCCCCGCAGGAGGTGGATACCCTATGGACAGCCCTTTCCTGAGCCTACCGCAAGGCCATGGGCAGGCTGGTGCTAGCAGAGGCACAAGTCTCCTGGCGCGCTTCCAGCCCCCTGCCCCTGGGGGTGCCTCTCAGCCCAGAATAGCCTGCTGTACTCGATACCTGAGCTCTTGCTCTCCATTTATAACCCAGCTAGCCTCTTTGCTCACGTCCTTATTGAGTATCTGCCCTGGCTGCCAGCCCAGCAGCCTGCTGGAGCCAGATATGGAGCTGGTCTGGGGGCCAGGCTGGGTGGTGGGCATCCTGCCATGGCCACAGAGAGCCAGCAGGTACAAGGGGAGGGCAAAAGCCTTTCCCTGGTGGGGGCATGCACAGCCATCCCAGCAGCACGGCCACGCTCAGAGGTGATGTCTCAGCTCTGCAGTGTGTCTCTTGAGTCACGCGTGATTCCAGGGACACCCCACGCCCCTGGCTGCGCCCGGGGCTGCATTCATCCCGTGATGCTGCCCTCCCACCACAGCCAGGACGGGTTGTTGGCGAGGTGACAGAACGGGGACAGGGCTATCCCGGTTACCGCCCGGCTGGGAACGGGTGGTGCTGTCGCAGTCCGGCCCCGTGACTTTGGCAGAGGCTGTGAGCGCAAAGGACACCCCACCTGCCTGCTCCCTTCTCGCCGCCCACAGCCAGCTGCACCGCGGCAGCTAGGGTTACAGCAGTCCTCCCGCAGAGCCGGGGCACCGCGCTGCGCAGGCTGCAGACCCGCAGGGCTGCTCCTGCCCCGGGGCTTTGACCGTCCCAGCAGGATAGCATGGCTGGCCTCTGAGCAGCGGGCCCAGAGCCGCGGGGCATGTGTGCCGCTGCGCCTGCCAGGACAGGATGTGGGCTTTCCTGGCCCAGCTGGTGATCGCCCTGGTGCTGCTGGCCTTCTTCCTGGTCAGCTGCCAGAACGTCATGCACATCATCAGGGGCTCTGTCCGCTTCCTGCTCAAACACGCCCACCACGAGCTGGACAAGGAGCTCGGGGAGAGCCAGGGGCTGGCGGACGACGAGGAGGCTCTCTCCACCAGGGTTGTCCGCCGGCGTGTCCTTGTGAAGGTAATGAGCAGGGAGCTGAGAGACCGGCCCTGAGCAGATGCAGAGGAGAGCAGTAAAAGGACGGGGCAGGGTGGGAGACAGAGGCTGTGGGGTGCATGTCAGGTGTACTGTTCTGCCTGCAAAGGGCTCCCCTCCCCCCCCCCCCGCTGAAATGCCCTGCTGTCTGTTCTGTCGGTGCAGGGAAACGAAGTCCTTCATCTCCCTGGAGAGCAGGTGACTGAGGAGCAGTTCACAGATGATCAAGGCAATATCATCACCAAGAAGGTGAGTGACCAAGGGCATGGTGCGGGCAAAGGCATGCTGCAGCCTTTCTCCTCTGCCCAGCTGCCCTGCCCATCCTTGCTCCTGCCTGCTCTTCCCTGCAGCCCAGAAGCCCGTGCGGGGCTGCCACACCCCACCATGTTTGGTTATGGTCATGGTACTTGTCTGTCCAGACCCTGCGCGTGGGACAGAGGCTGCATGCCATGTGTGGTTCAGGGCTGAGGGGATGAGGGGGGAGGCATGGTGCTTGGGGGTAGCTGCGATGCCCATCCATGCGGATCTCCACAGGTCATCCGGAAGGTGGTCCGTCGGCTGGGCCCTGGTGACACAGATGACAGGCAGGAGCAGGAGCTGATTCTAGAGGGCTCCCTGCAGAAGCCCCAAGACCTGGAGGCTGAGGACGATCACTTCATGAAATACTCCATCCTGCACCGGGATGGTCTGGGGGCCAAGGTACAGTGTGGCTTATAGCCCTGCCTTGCAGGCACCTTGGCCGGGGCCAGCACTGTCTCTACAGGACTTGCAGACTCTGGGGCTCCACCACCCTCTATCCTTTCTTCTGCCCTGCTTTCCTCTTCTGTTTCTCCTCTAAGGCTTCCAGGGGCAGCTCTTACCTGCTGCACCAGTATTCTTGCTGTGTCTTCTGCCAACTGACTTTGCCTTTCCCTCTCCTGTCTTCTTCTGTATGTCTGTCTGTTCACCTGGTTGATGTCCTGCTTCCTCCCCTTGCGGCTTCCTCAGGAGGAGGTGCGAGTGCGTGTCCCGAAACCAGAGGTCTCCGGGGGCAGGATGGGGGCTCAGATAGTGAAACGAGCCAGCCTGAAAAGGGGAAAGCAGTGACCCCTCAAATGGCCTCTTTTGAGGTAACCCCACGTTTGCTCTTCCTTCTGTCCCAGCTCCCCATGCCACTGCCTGCACTGAGCTGCTGGATATGCACATCCTCCTGGGGGAAGTGTGACAGGGCTGTGCCAGCTTCTGGCCTGCATAGGGGGGTTGCTGTGCTGCAGCAAAATGCTGAGGGTGGGCAGCCGTGTGCCCCTGCTGCTAACCCACTCCTGGGTCCAGGTCCGGGGTGCAATGGGCATGGGGTGCCCCGCTCTGCAGTGGTGCCCCAGCCAGCTGCTTGTGCTGGGTCAGTCTCTGTGCTCAGCACCCTGCTGCGGCCACAGTGCCAGGGGCTGCTGCTGTGCTCACAGCATCCCGGGTACTCGGCGTAATGGCCAGCGATAGGACCACAGGCTGGTTACGCCTGGTTATGCTGGGCTACAGCAGAGGGATGATCTTTGTCCAAAGCTCCTCCAGGGAGCAGATGGCATTTGCATGGGGTCTGAGCGGAGCTGTGCCCTTCCTCAGCAGCACTAACTGCGCAGCCTTGTGGCAGACGAGACCGGCCCTGGTGCCCGCACCTCCCCTTCCCACGGGGTGCGGCCGGGCACCGGCAGGTGCCTGAGTCAGACGGGGAGTGTCACCGTTCTGCCGGGTCGTGCCCTGCTGCCTCCGCTCGTAGCGCTCCCGGCAGACTCGGGCAGCTGCCGCTGCCAGGCGCGCAGCGTGGCACGAGAGGGCGGCAGTGAGGTCTGCTGCAGCTCCTGTGCCCGGGAGAGGGGGTGCAGGCCGTGGCAGGATGCTGCTGGGGGACGTCAGGGCAGCAGGGCAGCAGGGCTGCAGGAGTGGCGGGGTG